GCATATTTAAAACCCCTTGAACAAAAAATCAAAAGTAAATCTTATTTATAAATAAAATCTAAATATAATTTTTTCTTTGAAGATGTATCATCTATATTGAAGAATAAAGAAGAAACTGTTTTAAATGCTTGGCATTATCGAAAAAAAATTATTGATGAATATTTACAATATATCTCATTTAAACGTAATACAGATAAAGTTTTTGTTTGGATTGATGAACATGATGAATGTTTTGTATCAAAACTTGAAGAATTGGATATTAATGATGAAGGTTATATGGATTTTGTTCGAGCACTTAAGGTTTGTTTTCAATGATCGAAGAAAAAAACTTATTTTTTCAAAATTCTTAAGCTTGATTCTCTTAGTTAAATGTTCAATAGTGTGAGCAGATCGAGAGACGACGTCTGAGTGATGAGTATTTGATTCTATCTATTAGTAATAAATACGGCACCTATTTATTTGCTAAATAAAATTTGTGTATTCTCGATAAATAAATTGAATGTTCAATAAATTTATTGAATGCTCATTTAAAAAAATATTTCTCGATAATTAATATATATGTTAAAATTTTAATTACTAGGTAAATATATTGAATCTATCGGTATGAAACACATTTTACCAAGTAAAAAATACTTTCAGCATGTAAAAAACATAAATTTGATAAGTAAAAACAAATGGCGGGCGAGTCGCTATTTTCCGTTCGTTCTCTTGTGTTCGACTCTTTTTACACACATCACATATACTTGCATTTTTTCGTTTCTGTCCATCACATATGATAAGCTTTTCCCTTCTGTTTTTTCTACTCGTCATCTTTTCATATTTATATTATGTTATTTGTGATTTATTTCAGTCGCTCTATCTCGATCAACTCATGTACATTTCTCAAGAATCTACGATCCACTCCCCTATATATAACCAGTGCTTTTTACAAAAAAATAATGTGTGATTCAAGTACGCATGACTCAAGTCCAAACTGTTTGAGTTTGGGTTTAGTACTCAAACTCTCAAACAGTTTCGATTCGAGTTTGGTTTGGGCCATGTCTAGACCCAAGTATTTGTACCACACCCACACTCACATTGAAAAGCAACTATAGCATTGCTAAGCGATTAGCTGTTCAATCAAATTTTTTACTTCGGAAAAGCTATTTATTTACTTAGCATTTCTCAATATATTACCTTGAGAACTAAATGTTTTCACTGAGAATTTATATAAATTTACTTAGCACATGAATAGGTGCCAATAAATACCTCGTGGAGAAAGCCTGAAAAGCTTTGATTGTTAAGAAAATAATTAATTTAAATCAGTATGTAATGAATTATTTCGTTTTAGGAAAAGAAAACAATGGTACGAAAATTAGTTGAACGAGCTGATGTATTAGTGGAACGTTCACATTCATTTGCACCACTTATTAAAGATACATGTAATCGACTTGATTCTGGTTTTAATGATTTTTTTCAAAAAATTATGAGAATTAATAATAAAGAGGTTTGTTATTATATTCAATTGATGATATATATATTATTTTATTTTTAAAAGGAAATTGATAAAGAAGCTGGAAGAAAAAGTGATTCAAGTTTAGAAGAAAAATTAGAACAACAAGAATTAAATGAAGGAAAACGAAAAGCAGCTAAACAACGAGAGTAAGAAACAAAAAGCCGAATTTGATTTAAATATCGCATTTTAATTTTTTTAAGATTAATATTTAATGAATTACTCAATACAGAACGTGCATATGTTGATAGTTTAAGTAAATGTATTCAAGTAAGTTGGAAGTCAAATTATTTCTCGTTTTATATTTTTATTTTTAGCATTATCTTGGTGAAATGAAACAATATCCAGAAGAAGTACCTGAATTTTTACGAAATAAAGAATCAATATTATTTTTAAATATTGAAGAAATTCATAATTTTCATAAAAAGTTCGATCTAAAAAATATTTATATAACAAAAAAATAATTTTTTTATTTTTAGTTTATTTCTCAAAGATTTAGAACGTTATGAAGATAGTCCTGAAGATGTTGGACATTGTTTTGTAACATGGGTAAGTCACGATAAGATTTAAAATCAAAATATTTATTTTATATTCTAGGCGAAACAATTTCATATTTATTATGTTGAATATTGTAAAAATAATGAAACATGTATTAAATTATTAACACAATATCGTGGTCCTTATTTTGAGGTAAAAATTTTATTTTTTTAACTTTCTCTCAGATAGGCGTCTATACAAGAATATATTCACTTCACTGATGATCAGGGATAGATCTAATCTCTTTTCAAAAATACTCATATCTCATGTGGGAACATATAATGTACATAATTCTGAAATAAATCACTAGAGAATAGATAACATCATACCTATTTATATCGTAATGAATAAGAAAATAGTTTCCTCTTTCAAAAATATTTCATAATATCTTATATTCATCTGTCATTAATTATTACGAATTATTCTTGACTTGATTTTCACGACAAAATATGACAAATGGGAGAATGACCTTGTCCTTTATAATAACAAAACAAATAAAAATTACTCTTGCTAGATGTATTATTTTGTTACTCAAGTGTAGCAAAACCTTAATATTTTTAATGTCATTTGTATTATCTATATCACATTATTTCTTTTTTTCTTAAAACATTCTTAACGATATGTTCTTATCGAACAGATTATATCTATAAAAAACAAAATGATTGATTATAAATATAAGATTATTTAACGTTGAAGTTTTTATTGTAATCTAATAACAATTTGTTGATAGAAATCTAAACCCTATAAAAATATTTTCTCGAAAAAGAATCTATAGTCAATATTATTTCGTATAGATTATATTTTATGATAATTTGATCAGCTTTTCTTTCAAATCATACGAACTAAATGCTTGAAAAACTAAGCGTCTGATAATATTCTATTATAAAATCACGTTCATTCTGAGATGATACATTATGTTTCATTCAATCTTTTATCGATATAATATATATACTTTTTTCTTCTTCTTCTAGACAATCCAACATAAATATCAAATTGATACAATAAATTCTTATTTAATTAAACCAGTTCAACGTATAACTAAATATGAATTATTACTTCAACGTTTAATGTCATGTTGTGAAGAATCAAAAGGCGAAGTGAAAGAAGGTTATGATCTTATGTGTAGTGTACCAAAAAAAGCCAATGATGCAATGCATCTTAGTTATCTTGAAGAACTAGAAGTTTGTATTTATATATTACCAAAAATAGTTTATTAATTGATTTATTGTTTGTTTTGAAATAGTCTGGTCTAACAAAAGAAGCATTAGGTGATGT